TTTTATGTATTTGGGTGCTCCTGTATTGGGTGCATATATGTTTATCAAAGTTATATACTCTTGTTGAGTTGCTCCCTTTAGTATTATGCAGTGGCCCTTTTATCTCTTGATATGGCCTTCACTTTGAGGTCTATTTTTTCAGATATAAGTATTGCTAATCCAGCTTTTTTCTCATTTCCATTTGCCTGAAAAATTTTTTTCCATCCCTTCATTATCAGTCTGTGTCTGTCCAGTGTATTCATTATTTTAGCTATAGTGTACTTCATTTCTGACTGGTTGATCTTCATTATTTCTATGTCCTTTTTCATGCTGTTGAGCATTCTAAAAACCATTATTTTAGACTCTTATTCTTATAAAAATGCTGACTTCCATTTTATTTATCTCTCTTTCTAGAGATTTTCCTTTTCTTTTGTTAGGGACCTATTTCTTTTTTCCCCCATTTTTGTTGTTCCTTTGTGTTTGTTTCTTTGTATTGAATAAGTCTGTTATGTCTCCCAGTCTTGATGATGTGTCCTCATCGTGGAAGCCAGTGGTATAGTCTTTTTGATCTTTTGAGCTTGGTGATCTAGAAATGTCATTTTTGTGGGCCCTTTTGTTGTATGTGGTCCCATTGCTTGCTTTTGTCCCATTCTTGGTGGATTTAGGCCTCAGGCTTGGTTACTGTGAGGCTCAACCCCAACCTTGTCTTATCAGCTGTTAAAGGGGTGCTGATAAAGTAAAACAAGACCAAACTGAGAACAACATGAAAAACAAAGCCAAACCATGACAAACACAACAACAAAAAGAAAAGAAAGAAAAAAAATAGTGAAAGACACGAGACCAAAGGAAGTAGAGGGGAACACAGGAAAAAGAAAAAGAAGGGTTAGAGAAAAAGAAAAGAATAAAAAGGGATAGAGAAAAATCAGGGATATGAAAACAAGAGAAAAAATAATAATAATAAAAATTTGATTCTGCTATCTGTGGATCTCACTGGATTTTGCTCTGATGTTGTTGAATTTTGCCCCTAATGTGTCAGCCCTGGATCTCCTGGGAGATTCTCTGGTGCAGGTCAATGTGAGTTGCCGCAACCTTTGCAGTGGGGGTTCAGGATCTGAAGCAGGGGCTGATGCACAAATGAAAATACTATACAAGAAATATGAATTTAGAAGGCATGGGGGGCCAGGTGGAAACCTCTCTCTTGGAGAGGTGCACTGAAACTTGGCCTTATCCACTTTTTATTCAATTTTAGATACACATCTTGCCCTCAGTAAAGCAGGGCAAACAGGTAGCAGGCAGACCCTCTCAAAGGTCAGTAAAGATCAGAAAAGATCAGTAAGGTTCAGTAAACATTTACTTTGAGGCTATTAGGTGAGGAAATTGCTTTGGGCCATTGCTATCTCAACATAACGATGGTGCATGGTATTAGCTCTGCTAATCGTCCAAGATCCATTGGCCTTCCCGCTCCTTGGTGCACTCTTATGACAGTATTGGGAAAGCGGTGGCTTCCCTCAGTGAGTTGGTATTGCTGCCTGGCCCTGGACAACTTGAATGAAACCTGGCAGGGCAGGGACCCAAGTAGTCTGGCG